GCCAGCCCAGCCTTAAATGGTGACAGATGGAGAGGTACCTTAAAGCGTACCTATAGCGCACTTGGCTAATAAAACAGTGAACATACTCTTCCACCCCCTGGGCCACATGAAACTGTACCGTCCTTGCACAATTTAAATTTGTGTGTGTGTGTGTGTGTGGTCATGGTACCATCTTCTGAATCTGCCTATTTTCCCCTTCTCCTTCCGTAAACCTGAGTCTGTGACTTCGACTGAAAAGTGAGCTTTGAACTTTTTGTCCTAATGATCCAGACATTCCAAACTTGCATGTAAAAAAGTACTTGCATAAAAATTAATTCACAAGACAACTATTACGGCATTGCAAATGAGGTAAGAGTGGGTTTAGTGAGCTTACCAGCAAAAAGGCCAGAAGATTCCAAGTTTGTTTTGGGGTGGTGTTGTTATGGGCCTTTTCCAACAAATTTAAATGTCCAAAAATTAGGTTTTGTACAGCATGAAAATGAAAACAAAGTCTTTTCAACACTTTCACACGGCTACTGGTTAGAGGCCTGATTTGAGGGCATGGACTCAAGTCTCCTCTTCATTGTCAAAAAAATACTTGTCGTCATCCCTAACTCTTGACATTTGGAAACAAAGGGGCTTGAGTGTTACGTTGTCCACAACAAAGATAAAAACTTAATTGACTCAGTAGTCATATTTCTGCCTGTGTCCTTCCTCAGTTTAACAGATGAAGATACGCTTCATCATACTTTGATAATATAAGCTTCTGATCAGCTTTACTTACAGTCCTGTAAGTGACTCTTGGGACTCTGACATCAGATTCCCAGAACTAGTTCCAAGTTTCTTTGGTTTGCTCATGAGTTGCTGAATAGATTAGCGGCCTGGTTTTGTTAGGTGAATGCAAACGTGCCAATAAAAAGAAGCGTATTGCCATTTCCCCTCCTAAATAATACACTAAGCATTTTTATATTACTTTCTTCCGTGGGTTGACATCTTTATATTCTCTACTACCGAGTTTCTTATAAGACTATATTATCTTTTAAAAAGTGTGTGTTTGTGTGTGTGTGTGTATACACACACACATGCACCCTCAGAGTAAGTTTTCTTTCACAAACTGAATACTATAATCTGCTCAGTTACACAGTGCTTTTTTTAAATGAGTTCCATAAATATTTCTTTACCAGACAAAACCAATGTTGCATGGCAATACACTTTATTTTGTATAGTTTCTTTCAAGCACATTGTGTCTCAAATACGTTAGAGGTAATTAACACACTTGCAGATTTTAAAATAATCTAAAAAGGTTTTAATTTAATGAAAATTCTAAACAATAGCAGTACACATGCTCTTTAATTCACATGCATCATAAACGTAAAAGGGTGATTACACCTGTAAGAGCTGAGCAGCTATTTACGTTCTTGTAAATATTGCTTTGGTGGAGTGAGCTCTTAGCGAGGGGGATGGTTGGTATCTTTGTTCAGTGATTCTGAAAGACCAGCACTGTGATGATAAACTACATATACATGTTTGGACTGTTGTTGGAGTAGTAGGAGGGACAACTTTGTTTGGTTTTAATTAATATGGGACTACCAATCCCAGTACAGAAAGGCAGCTCTACTATAAAATTGAAATTAGAATAATTAATCTGATTATCATGGTGTAATAGCTATATTTTATTAAAAATTTCACAATAGTGCTGTTGAGTCTTCCTGGTGAAGCACTCAAGCTGCCTGATGGACTCAGCAGATGGCGGCTCACCGCCACGCTTTTGATTTCTTCCAGCAGACAGTTCCTGTAAGATGCATCATTGTATTGTGCAGCGTAGAGGGGGTTTTTTTGCTTGCATTTAAAGACAAAAACATCTCTAAATTGTGTAATTTTCTGTGCAGATCTATTGTAGACAGAAGGGCAGCTCCTCAGGCCCCACCAGGGTCACAGGCAGTTGCCGGAGATCCCTATTCTGGTCAGTTTGCAGCGCCGGATTGTCACATCCCCACACAGTGAGCTAGAGTGCTTCAGGAAATCAGACCTGGGATTTCCAATACTATTAAGCAAGCAATACTTCTTTGCTCCTCCCTTTTTAAACGCCCTGTTTACTGTACACACTACCTTTTATTATGTGGTCATCCTTACTAGGAGCTTAAAAAAAGAAGTAAATTGCTTTCATGGTTGCTTTGGTTTTCTGATTAAAATGGATTTTACTGGAGCTAATAAGGACAGAATGTAGCTCAGAGAACTGTATTGCTAAGTATTAAAATTCAGTATTGATACGACAGTTGAGTATCTGAAGAAACACCTGTTTCTTAGGAATGGAAATGTAGCCTCTGACCAACTGGGAGCCTTGTGGCAGCACCGGCAGCTGGCTGTGGGGTTAGGTGGAAAGAATGACCATTTCACATCCTCTGGGCCACTGGGCACCAGTGGGTTCTGATATCAGATTCAAGCCATGGTATATAGTTTTTTTCTGGGTTTGGAGACAACCTTTGCAACTCTGCAGCTCTCAATACCCAAGTGAAGACTAAGCAGGAGTACAGATAAAAAGAGTAAGCTTAAGAAGCAGACAACACAAGTTGCCTCGTGTGAACAGCTGGATTACTCCCATCCCATTCCAGGCAGTGGAACTGGAAGGAGCTGTGCGATTCACACAAACTTCTCAATTTTGTGTCACGTGAGAGTATAAACCCCACTGCATTACATACCATTTAGCTTTCTCTTCCAAATTTTTTTTAAAGAGGAAATATGATGAAAGACATGATAGTTCAGCCTAGAATGTTACAGAGTTTTGCAATCTACCCATAAATGACGTGAGAGGACTGACCCTCTGCATACACAATTTATTACAAATTACTAAGTGCTGGGATAAAAAAAAAGCAAATGCCATCATATTTGTGCCATCCTGTTAACTTTAATCTTATATAGCTAGGACCTTTAGTTTCTGTTAGTTTCTTATCTGTTTTTTCTAAGGGGTCATCATCATTTTACTGTGTCTTTCTGTAGGATGGGGAAAGAAACTCCAGTCTTTTTCCATAGATTTGAAGTTTGAAGCTGTAAGCTAATGCTGTTTTCCATAATTCCAATGCCCCATGCACATGGCTTGAAATATTTCAGATGCACCCTGAAAATAACAAAATTTTAGGTAATTTTATATTCTCGTCTTTTAAAAACGGAGAACCCAGTTTTCTGGAATATAAAGTTCTTCAGTCTTCTAGGGGCAAAAAGGCAATTTAAGCTTCCCGAGCAACTTCCAAGAGCAGCGATAGCTACCAGTGTTATTAGAGTATCATAGTTTTTCAGAAGATCATCAACAGTAATGGCCTTCATATCCTGGATTTAGATTCAGAGGATGTTGACACAACCTTATTAACACAGACAAATGTCTCCATCTTCACTTAGAATATCCCAGGGACTCATAATTTAAGAACTTTATAATGCACAAATGCTGCTGTTACTAAGACAAAGAACAGCGGGGGAGATTAATTTCCACACAACAGCACCATTGATAAGGAAGAAAGATGTGCAAGTGTTCAGGAAAGTTGTGGACATGGAAAGATTAAAACTAACAGAAAAATATTCCAGTGGATAGAATCAAAAAGCAATTCTTTAATTTTTAAATTTGCACAGCAATAACTGAGACAAATGAGCCTCTGAAATATTTTGGAAAATGTCACTTTGCAAACCTTGTAGATTGCTTAAAATGTTTATTAAAATGGACCAAAAGCCAAAATTCTCTGGGTAAAATAAATACTTTGTCTTTGCTAAGAAACAATATTTGTGAACAAAACATAAAACTATAATTTTCACGTGTCAAACATAGTAACATTTAAGATTAGATGCTGGAGTTGGACCGAGCATTTTTTTTACATCTTCCTATTTACAAGCTGCTCATTGAGACCATTTACCTCACATTAGCTATTAAAATGACTAACATTTTTAAAGTTTGCTCCATGACTAAAATAAAAACAACAGAAATGTCCTTTTACCGTAACTTAACAAAAAGCAGAACCATATTTTTGTTATCTAGGAGAACGTACTGTTATAAATACAGCTGTTTTTCATCTACAATTATATAAATAATAAACATGCTGCCATTCACAAGGATTTTAATAGATGATTATACATAAGCAATATCATGATCTAGCAGAGGATGGCATGAGTTTTCATCATTCATTTTTATTGTACTTATTCAGGACCCTTGTCTTCATCTGAAAATTGTGGAACAGACTTCTTTGCTACAACATTATCCAGTCGCTGTCCTTGCAGATACGGGTTCACACTCTGAAAAAGTTTAAAATTAGTTATACTTATTAGAAACAGGGAAACATAAAAAATAACTAGAATAGTGGATATATTTATGTATTTCTTATCTGTCAAATACTTGCAGACTGAAAAGAAAAAAGAAATTGCTCCCAGGGAATAAATTTAAAGGTCAATCAATGTTTTGTTTTCTAATATTTTTTGTGTGCAAGAATTTAATCCAATCCACTGAAAGGAATACAAGTGAAGGAGGACTATCGAGAATATAGGGCAGTCTAAATTAAAAACTGTTTTTTTGCTCCACCTCTCCTTTCCTCAGCCCAGCAGAGAAGCAGCAGCAGCAGACCTAAGTCTCTAATTCTTGAGGCAGGACAGAACTTGTTAGAGAAGTACAGGTAAGCTTTAGCTTAAATCACTAGCCTCTGATGGACCTTATGCTGGGAGACAAGTTAGATACCACGATACCATTTTTGACCAAAGTCTCTTCTTCAGCCCATCTCCTCTCCAGGAAACCCCTCCTTGCATCCTCTCTTGATGCTGAGATAAAAAACTGCTGGCACAGAAGCAGAGCCAAGCAAGGTTTTGGCATAGGAAGCGGCTCTCAAAACCACTGCCAGAACAAGGGAATGCTGGAAAGAAGATCCCTGGAGAGGGTTTAACTTCACATTGCGCCATGCAAGCAGCACAATGTGAGACTGAAGATGAACAGAGCTCCTGTCTCAAAACTGTTTGGAGATCACAGTAATGTAGAAAGCCTATACTTGAATTTTATCTATACCAATAGAGTAAAATGTATTTGCTGTATTTGCAACTATCAAGCAGTTTAGTGGAGTTTCAGAATTAACTGAAATATTATTTACACCCACTTTCTGGCCTGTTACAATGTCAGTGTAAACAAAACTCAAGTATATACTTTCTCCTTCACAGATATAGACAAAAATTCTAGTGTGCTGGTTTTTGATGCCAATAAAAATTGCCCAAGGACAAACTTCAGAAGAATGCAAATTTTCCAGTATCCCCTGATTCTTGTCAGGCTGGCTGTATCACAGAAATTGCTTTTCTTTAGATAATTCCGTGCTTCTTTCACCAAAACATAGGAATTCAAAACTACACACAAAAAAAAGCTTTTAAAATAGGCATGAAATATTTTTTTTTCAAATATCCCAACTATTTGTCAAATCTCTGGAAAAGATTTGAGGTTTGTCTGTCTGTGAGTTTAAGCCCTTGGGTTTCTCCAGATTTGTAGACGCTATCATGAATACTTAATCATAGCACAGCACAGCTCTTTTGCTTACTTCTATTGTTTTTTGAGTGCTTTGCCTGCTGCAAGTGAAAACATATTAAGAACCAGAAGTGAATGTGGAAAAATCTTTGAAAATAAAACTAACACTAATTTAATGCTTTAAATTGTTAAAAATAAGACACGTGTAAATGATTTGTTTCTGTCTGAAGAAGTCCAGTTTAATGTTAATGTAGTGAAATTCGGCTGTTGCATAAACTTCTAGGAATTATTTGAAGATTCTTGGGAAGATTAATTGGTCTTTTTTTTGGAAAGGTACTTGCTTGCTACTTTTTGAAATAAAGGAGAAGAGAATAAGAATACATAAAAATTTGAATTCTTCTCAACTGACAAAAGAAAATACAAAATATAATGCAAAATTTTTGGCTGATTTGGCTTAAAAAAATGTTTAATCCTGTACAGCTGTGCTGAGTTCAAAGTAATACGGTTCTCGAATACCTTTGTGCACAGCTCTGAGCCTACAGCAATGTGACTCAGTGATTACAGAAGCACTCCTGTAATGTTTGGGATGTTATATTCTGGACAGGGCTTTGCTCATGCATAGAAATTAAAAAAAGGGGAGAATTGCTAGTTAAATTAGACATCACCGTAGGCTTCCTTGGCTTGCACTGCAAAAAAATAACACGGTTGCAAATGGTAAATACATGCCTTTGCTATGTATACTGATTATGTGTATGTACGCTTGCATGTGTGTTTAGATGCATACATATAAATATATGAATATACACACAGAATATGTAGTTTTGTAGACTCCAGTATTGCCTCTGTGACTGTTAAACTATAGCGTCGTATAGACACAACACAGTTACTATGTACACAGTTACATAGGACTTGCTTTAAGCTAAAATTGGGACATTCTGACCCCAAAGACCAATCTGTTGCTAGAAGCTGTCCTCCCTAAACTCTCTGTCTGTGCAGAGGGGCATGGAGGAGTGGTGGGGACCACAGGAGGCAGGAGGGGAACCCAGCGGGCTTTTTGGTTTGTGGAAAATAAACTCTGCTGCTGACAGCCCTAGGTTGCTCTTCTGCTGATAAAGTGAAAATCCTGAATTGTTCATTAGTAATCATGGCAGCATTGCTCTCAAACCAGTAAAATACTTTAAATAACAATGAATTTACCATTAAGTGACATATGCGTGTTAAGAAAATAAATCTGCTGCAAAGCAAGAAAGTGAAGCTTAACCTCCAAAATTCTGGGTTACCCCTGGCCACATGGCTATCATGTCTCTCCAGTCATTATTCCTTTTGTATCTGATCACATCAGTAAGCACACGGGCAGAAAATGTACTTTTTTTTCTTTTTTTCTGTCATGTCTGTAGTACACTAATCCTACTTTAACATGCTATTCTAACTATTAATAAGTATTCCAACTAAGTATTTCCAGAGTAAATTCTATTTATTTTAGAGTTAAAATCAGGTGCCTACCATTTTTCCGTTTCCACTAACAAACTCGAAAATCACATGTAAGTGGAAGGCAGATACCAAGCTCAAGATAGACCATTAACTTATGGTTGAACAGTGTTTATTACCAGTGGTGTGGGAATCGGGAAGAAATCAACTCATCTTCTCCCCTTCCAGCAAAGACTTTAGGTTTGAGGCTTAAATAAATAAATAAATAAATCGTCTTCACTGACACTTCAGTTATTTTTAACCAAATTTACTTCGTTTACAATATAAACTGTGCTGTCATATTTTGAAAAGCTACTTTCTGGCAGAGCGCTAGACTTTTTCTTCTTGTGAAAACAATACATCAGCAGCAAAGCTAAAGACTTTGACTCTGCCTGAAAGTGTTTTTTTGGTAAAAGAAAGGCTGACACTACCAAAAAAAAGAGAGATAATAGTGAGGTGGACTGTGCAGAGATTCTCTGTGATGTGTGGATTGCCTTCCTTGTTTCAGGGGCAGAAGGATGAGAACCCATTTGTCTTTGTCTTTCAGGCAAGTGCGACACACAGGTAAGAGTTTCATCTGAGGTAAATCTAAGTATATAAGTGAATCAAATTACATCAGCTAAAGAACCACTTCTACTGTCATTTACACCCAAAAACATACTCACATACACGGATAGTAGTAATTAATTTTACCAATAATTTTAGTAGAAAACTTTAAAAATCTGTTCTAAAGACATTTAAACAATTTTAAATGGTTTTATGCAAATATGATCAATTTAAAAACACAGATAATATAAAGTTTTTAAATTAATGCTCTGCATCAAAGTGCATTTCCTGGAAGCAACAGGCTGTTTAGAGAAAGACATCTTGTACTCGGTGGACAGTCCTGAAGCCTGCTCTAGTAGTTTATCACAGAGATTCCCTGACTTCATGCATTATCTAAGGTATAATGCAGATGCATTAGACTAACTCTTCATTTCAACAATATGATTTTAATTCTTATAGCTCTCTAGATGATACAGGGGCTATAAAATATTCTGATAGTTACCCTCTTTCTTCTTTTTGGACCACCATTAATCTTCTCAAAGAGTAAATTCTTGCTCTGGAAGGGGAAAAAATGCAGCCATCAAATTCATTACACTCTTCTTTTAAAATACGACTTTTGCTATTAAATATTAGCAAGTTTAGAGAGATGTATAATTTTACAGGAAAGAAACTACAAATAAATATTTGGTTATTCCTGCTAACATTTGCTGTTTTTCAGGAGCAGTCACAGTCTTATCAACAATTAAAAAGCCAGTGATTTTCCACTATATTGTGCTATATTATCATCTGTGTTCAGGCAGTAAGTGCTTCAAGTACACGCTGGTATAATAATATAGACTGGATGTTCCCCATCATGTGACACATGATATAAATACTGATATATTTAAAAGAAAAAAAAGACAGAAGGAAGAAAAGAAAAATAAGAGTGTGAGGGAGAGGAAGCAGGAGTCCTGCCTCTGATACATCTTTCTATACATTTGAGGTGACACAAGAACAGGAGCCAAAAATATTTGCTTTACAAGGGATTTTCTAATTCCTTCTAAAACCAGCAATCAGCGTCATTCCTACTGTTTTGTTGTCTTTGCTCATTCCCTTCCAGATATCAACACTTCCCAGCGCAAAGTTCTGCTGAAAGGAATTCAGCGCCAACTCTTCCTTTGTTTAAGTAGTGCCCTGAAAGTTTCTAAAAAACATTTGGTCTGTAACATTTTTAATGGCAAACCTTTTAAAAGCTACCAAAAACATCTTGGCAGAAGAGAAAGTTATGATGATGAGAAAAGAAAAGAAAAAAAAACAACACAAAAAATCCCCCTCTGACTATAGTTTACATAAATGCATCCACATATTGTTGTATTTCATACAAGTAGTGAATTCTAATAAAGTCTGGAATAACACACACATGCTCAACACATTTTGTTTCAATTGTTTATTATGAAGAAAAACAAAACCAAATCCTAACCTGAAAATGGAAGGAGAGAAGAATTACATGTGTAAAAGCAGAACACTGTATAAACAAGGCCATTAATTCTGCTATAAACAACTGACCTAACGTTGATTATATAAATAGAAAGTGTAATTCTAGCGCAAGACAAATTCACCAAACACTTCTACCCTCTCTGCAGCCTTGATATGAGAAAAAACAAACATTTTCAAGTGTTACAATGAAATCTGCCAAAATTGTCTGTTTTGTACTGCTCATGTTCATTAAACCCCAAATTCACAAGGCCTATCTCTTGCCCAACCTCAGTTATTTTGTCTGAGCCGTGCCAAAAGGGAACAGAGATGAAGTTGGCCAAGGGAGACATTCTTGGCTAGTCATTTATGTGAACTCACTTCAGGAAAACTTAAATTTAACATTTTAAAGAAACCCACTGATGCACAAATTATTCTCTTTAAGAAACAAAGCACCACTGAATCCTCTTTGTAAACTATTTGACCTTATACTTTTCACAAGAGGAAAAATAGTGTTTCTGAAATAAAAAGAATTTCGTGACTACTGGAGCTAACGTTTCTGTCACTCAGGAAAATTCCTTGCAATTGAACTGTTCCTGATCAGGAAGATTGTATTTTGTTTAGTCTGTTTGGGAACATTTTAAGACCATAACTACTGCTTAAGCATTATGTGGAGTGCAAAACAAATGAGGTTATGGAGCATGAGCTAAGAGTGTGCTTGTACGGTAACAGCAATCCTGAAAGTATGTTCCACTGCAAAAGGGCCTGAGTTCATCAGCCACCAAAATTTGCCCGTGAAGTGCTCACTATTGTCATCCTTCACCTCAGAGTTGTTAGGAATGAAGGCACAGAGTTTCTCCAGTTAAAGATACACCTCATATGGGGACATGCTGTTTGAATTGCTGCTTTCCCCTCACTCCTGGAGCTTCCTTTGCATCCTCCCAGCTACTTGGATTAGAGTACTACAGGTTGGGATTTGTGTGGGAAAAAACTCAGAAGTTAAAATACTTACAACTAACTAATGCCAGAGAAATTTACCCTAAGATCTTTCAGACTTCACTGAAACTTCTTGAAGTCAGCAATAATCAGCAGCTCTGTAATCTGGACCTGCACAATTGTTAAGCAAAACTAAAAGGGAAAATTGCATTAGCAAGGTTGCATCCTTTCAGGAGGGCTTTTTTTCAGTTAATTTACAATCTTATCAGGAATATCAAGCATGACAATTTCTATTACACCAAACACACTACACCAAGCTAAACAATCTGTACTCTGAAATTGAAGAGGGGGACCAGACCTACCATAACCCATCCTAATAATCACCATTGCCATCCAGATGTGTATCAACATCAGCTGGTAAAGAAAGATGCACTTAATGTTGCTCATTATAATGGAGTTGGAATAAAATAAAATTTGAGTGACTAGTTTCAGGTTTCCATTAAAATAAGGAAGTCAGAGATGGTAACTTCTTTAACAAGGAGTTCAACTTTGTTGAATATTTTTATCCCTGCTTCCCATGTGCCTTTCTTTGTACTGTCTTGGATCCCTCCACTGTAGCTGATAAGCAAAACTGGCATTATTTCTACTATTTGAGTGAAATGTTACCCATTGCTTCAGTAAAAAGAAGTGTTGCAGAAAAACATAGTTGCTTTTAATTTTCTATTTGTACTGATACTGGTGTCAGAAAACACAGTTGAACTTCCGTCCTCTTTGTAACCCCTACATCTGGTAGTGGTTAACACTTTGGGTTTCAACAAATAACAACTTACATATAAGTGGTTTTTAGATATGTATTGTAAATTGTATATTGTAGACTGTCTTCATGCAAGTCTTTCTGGATGCCAACAACACTTCTTCAGACCATCTAAAGAGTCAAGTCGCAAGATGCATAAAAGGCAGACTGAAATGGAAAGTACCTGTCTCCTGCAAGGAAAAGTCTGAACTGAGGGGGGAAAAAGACCCAGAAATCTTAGAAACTATAGTTGCACACTAGGGTGGAAACCTTCAAAAGCCCCTCATCTTACTATTCCTACTGTCCCCTCTATATTTTCCACGTAGGAGGGGGGAAAAAAAAAAAAAAGTCTTCAGGGCTAGGGGGGAGAGCATAAGCTGTGTATCTTGCCCTATAAGCAGAGTCTGTTCCGGAGACTTCCCACAAGTCAGCATATTGATATGTGGAGGGTTGTCCCAAACATAGCAAATTTCTTCCTCTTTCTTCCCTCCCCTAACCCAGTATACACTTATCATGATTTATATATTTGTATCTTCACATCTATTAGCAGTATTTATGCATAATATTTAGCATCTACGTGGAATCACACACTGCGCTGTATGAGATAGCTTCTAGACTTGTTTTGCCTTTATAAAATGTGTCCACAGGGTACTGCAGAGCTCCCACAACTTTGCAAGCATGAGAGTCTGTCACCAAAACAAACCAACCAACCTGTTTCTTTCCCATTATTCATGAACAAGCAGGTCTCTTTTCTTTCTGACCTGCTAATGTCATTTGGGTTTTACTGTGGTTACGCTGAGGAATGCATGCTGGCTCCTTGAAAGGACAAGTCGGTGGGAACTGTAACACTGCCTCAACCGCTCTGCGGCAGGAAAAGGCCGGGGAGAAGCTCCCCCGAGAGCTGCGAGCAGACGCCAGCTCGCCTGGGTCCAGGAGACACGCTGGCTCCAAGGGCTTCAGACGGTGGTGACAGCCTAGTGCCTTCACAGCACGCAGGAGTTCGTGGAAATGTAGTCTGTAAACACATGGCTGCTGCAGCCCCTGGGGCATTTGGTCCTAGGCTCTTCCATGGGAGAAGCAGGAACGGGCTGCTGGTGGGCAGAGGGGGTTTTGGTGGCGGGGGGCAGTGGGAGGATGAGGATGCACACAGCTACCCGCCAGGCAGCCCATGGTCGGCTGTGTTGGTTGTGTACCACCTAATCCAGATGACAGTGAGTGACCTAAAAGATTTGATCTACTTTATCTGTCCTTTATAAAGTCTCAAATAGCTAATTTTTAGAGTGCTTTTCTGCTCTTGTTTTTCTAGAGAGATAAAAATAGCAAAACAAGCCATAAAACCAGATATGGTTGTATTTATCTTTTTAATGTGTAGTAATATACAATGAGGAGGCGATCGGGGCAGTTCTCCTGAATCTCGGCAGAACATTTGCTTATGCACATTACCAGCTGTTTCATCTCTAATTAAAAAGATCTGGAGTTGGCTATGCTGCAGCTAGATATGATTACTGTTTAGTACCTAACAGTCTGTTCTAATCCATGTGTGAGTGTTTTTTTCCCCTGAATTAGTAGTGATGGATGGAGAAATGAAAAAAAGGCCAGCATCCACTAATGATTACCTACCATTTGTTAAGTACGTATGTTGCTGATGACAACACAGTATGTATGCGTGATTCTAAAATATTGCTATAGGCCAAAGATTTACAGAAGCGTTTTTATAGTTTTCAAAATGGTATTTTGAAAGTAAATTACTTCTGAATAATAAGAAAACTAACAGTGTTATCTGGCATAAATGAGCAAGTTCACCATCTGGTGTTTTTAAAATGAAAACCTTTGATGGTAATTACTTAGAATGCAACAAGAGTTTCCAAAATTTGGATTTTTGGCACGATTCTCTCTAGAAACTTAGCACTAACGTAAGTAATTAAGACTATAAATCTTAGACTGGTTTGATTATGAGCGATGAATCATTGTCTCACAATTACCGCAGGAGAAGAGCTGGCAAACATGTGCATTTATCAATATAAGCTTGCAGAGCACTGGTTTAGGGCAATCTTAAGTGTTACAACAATGTAAAATGAGATTTCATTATTTGTTCTAGAAGTATAAATTATGATCATTGTTATTGTTTTCCTGGCCCCTGAAGATGGATTTGGGATTGGACATTTAACTGATGTAATCTAAGATTAAGCAGCAGAGCTTCTAGCCTGCAGAAACAGTCTAGCTGGAGTTATTAAAGTCCTTGTACGCTCAGAGCAAGATATTTGCCCTTAGTGTAGCTGGCTGCATTTATTTTACGCAATGTGTAAAACAGGTTTTCAATATAATATAGAGCACAACCTGAATAGAGGAAGAAGCAGCATCAAGTCCTCCAAAATCCTTAAACCAGAGAGGATTCCATAGAGTAAGTTGTCTGGACCTACATTTTTTAAGGTGTTTAGGCACTGATGCACTCCATATTTTTTTTTTTTTTTTTTAGCATCCAAGTAGCTGAACAGTGAATAGTCACTGAATTTGGATAATTTTTCAAATTAAGGCCCTGTTATGTTTTGAAATCTTGTGCTAAAATCTGCACTAATTTTGGTTAAATGTACATTGTAGTTTGAAATGTGGTTTGTTGCATTTATCAAGCACATACATAGTTGTCATGCTTTGGGACAGGTAATAAGACAAGGATTTCTACTTTCTATTTTTGTGGGCCTTTCATCAATCACAGGCATTATTTCTATATTTTCAAGGGAAAGTTCACCTTTTTGAGAAGTTTCCCTTAGGGTGGTAATTTTTCCAGCAGTAAGCACAATATTCTCCTTGCAGTTTCATAGTATCCCATGCAGCAGACAATACCCAGTTTGACATGCAACAAAAATAAGCAAGAAGGATGTACTCACCCACTTGCCTGTGTTGGGATAGTCATGCTCTGGATCAAAAAGGTGTTGGTGCAGCTGGTAGTTCC